CCCTATATTTGACAATCTGTCTGACTATATTTCAACGCGCACAGGCAACATACACCCTATGACCGAATATTAGGAAATATATAAACAGCATGTTCAATTTACTAAAAGTTTGTATAACTTCGCATTCAAATATTCTATACAGGTCAATATTTTATTTAATGTTCCACCATGAATGAGCCTTAATGACCAATGCTCCTTTAAAACGGCCATTCCATTATCACCTATTTGCCTAAAGTTGCCAAAATCATGACATGTCATTCATCAGCTGACTAACTTTCACGAACACGTATTCAATCGTAAGGTTTAGTATAAAAAATTCTTACTAAAAAGAATTGTACCTGTGTTAAACTGAAACTGAAATGAAAAACGACTTCTACGTGTTGACTTCATGATATACACAAACTTGTACCTTGGTTTCACCTCTTACTGGCTTATTTCACAAGTTCAGATGCATTTTTTAGTAAGTGCAGTCATACAGGCCTAATTTGACATGTAAGGGAGAGAGAGAGAGAGAGCACACAGACTTGCTCTGTTTATCACCAACGCATTTTTCGATTATTTATGAACATTAATGACAAACTGGAATTTCTATTAAGACTTGTTTATGTGGGTTTTCATTGACACACTGCAGGTCGCGCGTGCTTTAAAAGGACCTCCAGATAACAAGAAGTTAACATTTGACGAAAATGTTCCTATTAAACGTTCGTGGAATGACTTAGGTCAGCATATTAGAAAGGAAGCAATGTAATTAGAAAATAAATTAATGAGGAACTGCACATAAAGGGTTGTGTGACTCCGTTTGACTTTTTTATCAATATTCCCTCAGCATGATCTATAATATTTCGTAAGTTTTAATCAATCACAATAGAATCTATCATTCGATTGATAGTATGGAGGTGCCTACAGTCCATTTCCGATTTATATTCAACATAGATATGAGAGAGTACTCGTAGATTTAGTCACGAGGACGGTAAGACACAAAGTGAAACCACTAAGTCTCTTTTATTTTAAAGTGCAAATTAACCGAATTCACTTGTTTAGAGTTCGTATTAAGGGCGTAGATGAATCTCTTTCATGGGCGTCTGTTCTAAATTTAGGTTTAAGTATGTAATTAGTGAAACCTCAGCTTACGCTAACATTTAGCCCCTCACTTTGTCTACATATGTTTAAAACAAACTTAGTAAATGCCTAAATTACGTCGTTATGATACAATTTTGCCATCAAATTAGTTTTAGAGTTATTCACTGGACGTATAAGTTACTGTCAATGACATAAGTTCTAAATGATCATCTTATTGAACCCTCGTCAAAAGAAGAAGGGGGTGGTAGTGGTCAATAATTCGACCTTTGATCATAGCCAAGAAAAAATCAGTTGTCATTTCATTTTGCCCTTTTTTAATCATTTGTAAAGTTTGATTGTGTCGTAACATGTGCTAAAGATCAAGGGTCGTTGCCTTGAGTAATTTCGCAGTAAAGAGTCTCTGAACTCAAAAAAATATTCTTTTTTTCTCTCCAGAAACCACGAACAACTTAATACATTGGGAATTCAAGGTTCTTTCTGCATTAAATAGAGGCTCACGTGTCACAGTTTAAATTCTTTTGAAATACTATTCAACTTGAGATTTTACTTATCTCTCTTCATTTACTTCCAATCGCAATCCTAGTTCAGGTAGCCAAGGATGACATGAATTTACACCCACCAATCAGCGATAGAGTAAAGGTAACAAATCTTATGCACAATATGCCATCTTTCATGACTTAATTCCAACCCGAATGACATTTGCAAAAAACAATTTACCTCAAACATTAGTACGTTCCGATAACTTGTCTATTTGCATAAAGGGACATAAAGATGGTCTGCGTACTCATGTCTCCTTCAAATTTCATGAATCCTCAACCATGATCAAATTCTTACATTGTCTTCATCACTTAACCTAAATTCATACCAAAACTCGTAATCGTTTGGAGAATTAAGTACTTGCCACCGGCGAATGATAAATATAAAGAATTCGAAGAAATCAGTGCTGATACATTAGTTTTACTTGCAAATAGACAAGTGTCAAAACGTCTTTCCATATTACCAGAAAATAATTATAATTGTAATGGTAATAGTAAAAATAAAAAAAAACAAGCCCATCCGTGTAGGGTTGAAATTTGAGGGGAGAGCCAAGTGGGTGTGCGATAGACTTACCTCCACGTGGTGCACCCTGGAAATATGCCTTCACTATCAACATCTTATTTGGAAGCGGAGGGGTGTGTGCGATAGACTTACCTCCACGTGGTGCACCCTGGACAGCGTGCGATAGACTTACCTCCACGTGGTGCACCCTGGGCAACTTTCAACCCTTGCTGGTTTTCTAAACAATTATTCTTAAGAATACGATAGACTTACCTCCACGTGGTGCACCCTGGACAACGTACTTTCAAATGGCAGGCGTTATGATAGGTATCATGGGGTGTGCAATAGACTTATAAACTTACCTCCACGTGGTGCAGCCTGGGCAACGTATACCCATACGGCCTCCACGTGGTGCACCCTGGCCAACGTATAATCATACGGTCTTACCTCCACGTGGCGCACCCTGGGCAATGTATACTACACCTTACCTCCACGTGGTGCACCCTGGGCAACGTATTCTCATTCGGCTACCTCCACGTGGTGCACCCTGGGCAATGTATACTCATACACCTCCACGTGGTGCACCCTGGGCAACGTATACTCACGATAGACTTACCTCCAGGTGGTGCACCCTGGACAACGTATACTCAAATGACATACCTCCACGTGGTGCACCCTGGGCAACGTATACTCATGTGACAAAAAAGTCTATAAACCGGCAGTTGACTTCTGAGTTCAAGCTATCTTACCTCCACGTGGCGCACCCTGGGCAATGTATACTACACCTTACCTCCACGTGGTGCACCCTGGGCAACGTATTCTCATTCGGCTACCTCCACGTGGTGCACCCTGGGCAATGTATACTCATACACCTCCACGTGGTGCACCCTGGGCAACGTATACTCACGATAGACTTACCTCCAGGTGGTGCACCCTGGACAACGTATACTCAAACGGCACCTCCACGTGGTGCACCCTGGGCAACGTATGCTCACTTCAAACTACTAAATCTATTAACTGGCAGTTGACTTCTGACTTCAAACTATGCAAAATTACATTTACCGACAGTTGACTTCTGACTTCAAACTGCCACTTTATTATTCGGCAGTTGACTTCTGACTTCAAACTACCAAAAGTCTATTAACTGGCAGTTGACTTCTCACTTCAAACTGCCATCACCCAACTTCAAACTGCCCACGTGGTGCACCCTGGGCAACGTATATTCATACGGCAAAAACGTGGTGCACCCTGGGCAACGCATACTCATACGGCAAAATAAGTCTAATGATCGGTGACTTCAAACTACTATGGCACGACTATTTGTCATATTCGGCCCCATCCACAGATTATACGGCAAAAAAGTCTATTGATCGCCAGTTGACTTCTCGAATTCAAACTACTATGGCCCGACTATTTGTCATATTCGACCCCTTCACAGTACTCATCTTACTACTACGTGGTGCACCCTGGGCAACGTATCCACATATGGCAAAAGGTACCTCCACGTGGTGCACCCTGGCCAACGTATAATCATACGGTCTTACCTCCACGTGGCGCACCCTGGGCAATGTATACTACACCTTACCTCCACGTGGTGCACCCTGGGCAACGTATTCTCATTCGGCTACCTCCACGTGGTGCACCCTGGGCAATGTATACTCATACACCTCCACGTGGTGCACCCTGGGCAACGTATACTCACGATAGACTTACCTCCAGGTGGTGCACCCTGGACAACGTATACTCAAACGGCACCTCCACGTGGTGCACCCTGGGCAACGTATGCTCTCAAACTACCATCACCTCACTCTATGCCATATTCGAATATAATATGTCAAAAAGTCTATTAATCGGCAGTTGACTTCTGACTTTAAACTACCATGACCCCAATGTATGTCATATTCGACCACTTCAACTGCCATCACCTCACTCTATGCCATATTCGACTATTTCACAGACTACCATCACCCCAATGTATGTCATATTCGACCACTTCAACTGCCATCACCTCACTCTTATTCGACTACTTCCACAGTACTCACCTCACCTTTTTTCACAACTTCGACTACTTCAACCGTACTCACCTCACCTTTTTTCAACCTTTGTGTCTGTCTCTTTTACATCTTTGAAATACTCTTTTGTTATGCCATATTCGAATATTTCACAGTACTCATCTCACCTTTTTCCTTTTGTGTCTGTCTCTTTTACATCTTTGAATCTCTCTTCTGTTGTCTGTCTCTTTTACATCTTTGAAACACTCTTCTGCCCCTTTCCCAAATTTTTTCTCAAATTGATGTTCCTTCCCCTCTGTGAAGCCTGAAGTCAACTAAATGGCTAATGATAACTATCCCAACGCCTGCCATTTGAAATAAATGAATAAATTATTAGAAAATTATGCGCAAGCAAACTAGATTCCTTTGATCTCATTCTTGTTGGGGCTATTCGAGAAATCTCCAAAAGAATGCCGATTTATTCAAAGTAAAGTGACCTGAGATTACATTCATTCAGTCTGTCGCAATCCATACCGTCACAAAAGGCCTCTATCAACCATTCACCATTCATGTAATAATAATAAATATCACCCAGTTCCATTTCACTTCCCATGAGGACTTTTGTCGCTCTCTAAATAATTCACTTTTGCACTCCGACGGAAATTAGTGGTCAGGATGAGCAACTTCTTGATACTAGGAAAAGACAGGGAGGGATATTCCTATTTCTCTACACTTTTGATATCGGCTAGTGCCTGATACTGGTGTACAAAGCTTGGTATCTAAACACAAACATCGACGTTCTCGGTGCACAACTTCACTTTCCAAACCGAAAACCGATCTCATGGAGATCCGTCGGACGCGTACTACTTCCCCTCCAACGCGGCGTTCTACATGCTCAAAGACTCTGTGGGACACGTTATCGGGTTGTGCGTCATCGTTGCCTGCATGTCTGCTAGCCAGGATTGGGAGTTGCGGCTGTACAACTCTGTGTGCAGCGACCGTACAGTGCATCGTATGCCTGCATGTCTGCTGCCAGGATTGGGAGGTACGGCCAACTCTGTGTGCAGCGACCGTACAAACAGTGGCCAATCACTAGAACCTCGGGACAAGCCTTGTGGGACACGTCATCGCATGCCTGCACGCCAGGACTGGGAGATGCCAGGATTGGGAGGTGCGGCCGTACAACTTTGTGTGCAGTTCGCCAGGATTGGGAGGTGCGCCGTATAACTCTGTGTGCAGCGATCGTACAAACAGTGCATCGTATGCCTGCATGTCTGCTGCCAGGATTGGGAGGTACGGCCAACTCTGTGTGCAGCGACCGTACAAACAGTGGCCAATCACTAGGCCAGGATTGGGAGGTGCGGCCGTACAACTTTGTGTGCAGTTCGCCAGGATTGGGAGGTGCGCCGTATAACTCTGTGTGCAGCGATCGTACAAACAAAAAGGTGCGGCCTTACAACTCTGTGTGCAGCGACTGTACAAACAGTGATCATAAAGTAACCTCTGTTTAACCTAATCCCCCATCCTGATCATGAGTAGCTCCATGCGTGTACGCTTTATCCGCAATATCCGTACTGAATAAAGGTACTCCGTGCTACACGTCTGTTTCCTTTCATAGCTGGGATATAGCTTAGCTAGTTCTGGGAGTCTAGCTAGACGTAGGAGGATCTGCCATAGAGATTTCTGATTCTGTCAGGCTTTAATAAATTAGGGATCCGTTACAACTCTCCATAAATTTTTTAAAAAGGTTTTAAGACTGATTTAACACCCAAATATATGGATATAAAGCTTTCACGTGTGAAATTCAGTTTGATAAAAGGAAAATTATATTTCCTATTTATTGGTGATTGTTCTAAAATCATAAAGTCGTTGTCTTACGTAGTTCAAAAGCGGTTCCAGTAAATATAGAAATCATGCGCCAAGAATGATGAAATTTGAGTTCTGGAACGTGAGTTACTCATTTAGCAAGCATCACTTGAAGCAGCTCACATAATCCTGTTGATCTCCTCTTAACCGACATTTATCAATGCGGCGAATCAATTTTACCTAGGGAGTTTGAGGTCGAGCAGAAGTGGCAACCGAAATTATTTGAGTAGAAAAGTTATACACAATTTGAAATTTTGATTTTCGGTTTAATCCATTCCTAATTACTTCAGCGTTAAAATGAACACATCATCCAATTGTTATTTAAACATAACAGACCTCACTATGGAGATATGGGGGTGAAACATAGTTGATAATAGTAAAGTTCCAATATGTATAGACGGCATCTGTTTCGACCTAAAGTTATTTTATTTGCTGACGAGGAGGATAAAGCGTCAAGGTATGTCAACGCAGGGGAATGATTAATGCTTATTTATTTAATAAATTATTTCCCCTTTAGTTGCTTCAGGCTTACATTTCAGTACTGGGCAAAATGACGTTGAAAATATTAGTCATTACAAATTGACGTTAAATATTGAAATCAATTTCGCTTAAATTATCTGCTTGAGAGACGTGTCACCAATGAATTCATACCCCACAGAAACTTAATCTTGAGACACTGAAAGGTTATTTTCATCTTGGCATTGTCTGCTGCCATTACACAAAATGAAAAAAACCATATGGTGATTTTGCGCGTGTGAAACTTACCTATTATTTGCAAAGTATACGTTCTTTTGTGTATTCACTTTTAGATTTCGCGCTATGATAAGTCTACTATTAGAATGAAAACTGTAGTGGATTGACTCACTAGAAAAGCCTTGAATGGCTCAAAAATCTCTGTGTGCAGATTTCCATATATCTAGCTAGACTCCCAGAAATAGCTAAGCTACAGCCCAGCTAAAGAGGAATCAGACGGAACAAGTATATTTAGGATGTATATTGCGGCAAAGGGGGTGTGCGATAGACTTACCTCCACGTGGTGCACCCTGGGCAACGTATACTCATACGGCAAAAAAGTCTATGAACCGGCAGTTGACTTCTCACTT